CTTAGCACAAAACACTTATACAAAAGACCAACTTGCAGACAAAAGAACAAATTGTTAAGAAGTAAATTTATAAGAGATTTCTTATCACATTATGAATTTCTTATAAATTTATTTTACAAAAGAAAGTGTTTGATCGTTGTAAGGGGGCATTGAAATATCACTCAGCTTTATACCAGTTTCTACGTAGGAAAATAAAAGATGAAATATCTTTTATTTTGCATTGAAATTTGTAAACAAGTTGAGTTGAAGATAGTTGATACGTGTCACTACGTGACAAGAAGAAACCATGCTGCCTCTGTCAAGTGGAACAAAGCAAGTAGATCAATCAACGGTAAAGATTCATTTTCTCAGCCAACGGTGAAGATGAAGTGATCAAGTCTATAAATACAGAACGAGTGCGGGATTACCAAGTGTGGAAAAATGTGGTAATTTATTGGAAAAACAAAGGAGCCAAGTGGTTAGAAGGGAATCATACTTGACACGCTCAAATCCAGCTAACTGATCCTCCTCCACTTAGGCCGCCACTCCACTCGTCTAATGCTCTTAGACTAGTTATGATTCATACAAATCAATAGAGCTTAGACTAGTTGGTAGTTTAGATATTACACCCATGTAATCTAGACTAGTGTTAGACATTTTGGAGGGCTTGGTGATCAAATCCAGAAGGTGAGAAACGGCAAGGACATGAGTAGCTCTTGGCGAGTCAATGTCATTAGTGAAAAACCTTGGGAGGACATGAGCAGCTTGGAACGGTGTTTAAGTTCATTGTGGAAAACCTCACAATCTACGCCAGGGCCAAGGGTAGATTGGGTACTAAATGTAATGGGATATTCATTTAGTGAAAATCCATCTTAAATAGGTTGGGATTGGATGTAGGTGGATTACACCACCCCTGAACCAGGATATATCGTGTGTCACCTTTACATTCTGCACCTAACACTTATTTCAGTTCTCACTCACCTTCACAACTGCACAAGAAAACAGCTTGCTCACTTAAATTGTCCAGTGAATTTTCCCAATTTACTATGAGTCATCTCCTTATTATCTGCTCTTCAAAGTGACTTATCTCCATTGGTCTAAATCCTTCATACACTTGTGTTAGACTAGTTCTAAAGTTAGTCAAGTTGTTAGAGTAAAGTTATGTGCTATACTTTAACTAAACAAACATAATCACATTTCTGCAGTCAGCTCCCAAAGATTTCTGGCAGCCATCTCCTTCAGGTTTTGGCAGCCTGCTTCCAAAAGTGTTATGTTTCTGGCAAACACATTTGTACAATGTTTAACCCATCTCTCTCACCACTAAAAGGGTCATAACCTTTGTTCCTATACAGTGTCATCCTCTTGAGGTCAAGACTCCCGTTGCATGTATCAATATCTCCCAAAAGATGTTGAAACATATCCAGTTAGAGGAAAAAAGGTTTAAAACCGAAAAGATTTAAAAGTCTATTCACCCCCCCCCCTCTAGACTTTTACCTCACTTGGAACTCACAGTTGGTATCAAGGGCACTCATCAGTACATCCACCCAATTTCCTCAAAAATATTTTCAATATTGGTATGAATTAAAATACTTCTATAAAATCATAAAACTAATAAGAAAAAAAGAGTCGTTGTGCATAAAACTAATAAGTATTCCCAATTTCAAAATTCAATTGAAAATTTGAAACTATCTTACATGTCCACACAATAAATAACTCATTCAATCGGTGGGTGTAGCTCAACTGGTAGCGAGGAAGTGCCATAAGGGTTAGGTCCCGGGTTCGAATTTCGGCAACTGCGATGAGAGGTTATTATGCTTAAAATGCATAGGGCCTCTGTAAGTACTGGGGACGGAGCTCCACTCTCTATATATCAGATTGTGATTGTAGTCCAATTTACATTCTCTCATCGTACCGTCCATCGGTATTGGGTGCCCTCAGGGATGGGCTCTCTAATCTTTAATTGTATAGTAAATTAATCATTGTCTTTTTAATAAATAACACATTTTCTAATCCTCAATTGTATCTATAGATGGTACATTTCAAATATACAATTATAGAAAATTTTGTCATGTGTCATCATCTAAGCAAATTTAATATATTAATCAAATATAGTTCATTAGGCGTTACATTAGGATTTAAGTTTGACTAGAATTGTTCTTACGTTAACTAAATACTCCTACTAATCTAATGCTACGTACTAAGCTAATGCTACGTGCAGTGTGTTGGAGAATTTACACAAGTATGCAACCAGTAACTTTTGTTTATTGGACCCCAACAAAAAAAAAATCTCTCTCTAATTGATATAACTTTTTCATTTGCAATTCGATTTTTATAAAAATTATATCAAAATTTGTGATTTTTTATTATCTTTAATATGGCATCAATATTGCATATATAAAATAAAAAGTATGTTGAATATACGATAGATTGAGGTTTTTTAAGCTCAAAATTTTTTATAGCGTAATTTCATTCTGCAATTAGGGGACATTTTATTTATTGTTTTAAAATGTCAACAAACACATATTAAATACTAAAACATTTATTAAAAAAACAATTCAAATTGAATCAACAAAACCACTTAGTTAAAACTTTCTTAAAAATAAAAAAACACAAAGGACACTGGCAAACAAGGAGATTGCATATACAAAAATAAAACTAAATTTAAATATATGATTGATGGAGCCATTTTATTTATTGTCTGAAAGTATCAATAGAAAACGCTTGTGATCCACTTAATTTTAAAACTTGGATCCACTTAAGAAAAAATTTGAACGTAAAAACCATCATCAACCTACAACATTGGTGTAATGTGAAATATAATAAAAAGTTATGATTTTTAATATATATTTTTGTGTTGGAGTACAAATAAAAGCGTTATAGCACTTTAAAAAAATAGATTTTATTTAAAATCTTATGTTGACACCATGATCATATATATTTTAACATATTTTATCAGCTGAAGTTACTCTAGAAGATCATTTTTGCTATTTTTGGTATAACTTTTTCCTTATTTTATTAACAAAATATAATTTAAATATAAATTTTTCATAAATATGCAGAATCAGCCAATTTAGCCATAACTTCATATATTTCAGCAGAATTAACCGATTTAGACGATTTTGGTATTATCAAACGGCTCTTAATTGGGATATCGACCGTTACATTTGCTTTCGAAAGGATAACTATTTTTGTTTTTTTTTTACGCCAAGGGGGGTCTGGGGGAGGGGGGTTTGGAGTAATCAGCCCTAATGTGCCTAGCGGGTTTCGAACTCGAGACCTCTCACGGTAACCTCACAACCAGTTGGACTAGAATGCTTGGTTAAACTATATTACTTATTCTTTCAATAATTATTTCATTGCAATATTTTTCTCCTTAGATATATCTTACCACCTTTTTAGAATATTTAGGATGTTTTTAATTGGATCAGTTAAGTCTTAGACCAATTCAGACGAGAACATACCAGATAAACCAGACTAGATTTTGGTAGTTACAAAATACACATGGAACAAATATCTACCAAAGTAGTCCCGTTCAGGTCAAATTAGAACAAACTAAATTTCAACATATCAAATCAAATTAGAAAAACTGAGACTAATTAAAAGCACCCTTACACAAGATTTATATGTGAAGGCTTAGAATAAAAGCGCACATACTACGTCACTTTTATTTATTGTTTAATTCTTTGCGCTATAATTTGTGCTGTTTTATTCAAAGCTGCCACTCTGAATTAATAACGTACATGGTAAAAACAATACTAAACTGCATAAATTAATAAAATTAATATTATGTATATACAACATTGGTATCATGTGAAAGATAATAAAAAGTTATGATTTTTCATATTTTTGTAGGAAAACAGATTTTGTTAAAATGTTATGTTGGCAACATGATCACCTTTTACCCGTGCCGTGCATGGGATAAAATATGTTTAGTTTTACTTTTACTATCTATGTGTCTGTTTGCGTGCACTGCCATAAGTAATGAGTTATTATAACTAATGGAAAATCACTTATTTATGATTGTAATATTAGTTAATAATGCATATGTATATTCTTATTTATTGAGTATGACTTATTTTATTAACTAATTATCTAATGATACTCTTAGACTATATATTCCAACCTAAACAATCAATTGTTTTTATATAGCTCTCCGTTGCATCCAAATGAACTTTATCTTTTCAACCATCTTTATTTAAACAAAAAAACGAAAATTGCTCAATGCTTATTTTTATGTGATAGATTTCATTGGTAGATGGTCATATTTGCCAAATACACATTTGTGCTACGAATGAAATCTATCAGATAAAACTAAGCATTGAGCAATTTTCGTTTTTTTTAAATCTATAAGATTTCATGCTTAGTTTTATATGCTAAAATGACCTTCTACAGTAACTTCAGTCGAGCCATGAAAGTAACTTCAACCTTACTTTTTCTGCTTATTACACAATTCAGCGCGCGAAAGGAAAAGTTACGTGTTTGATGAAAAAGTTGGCTATAAGTCGAAAAACAGTGTTGCTAAATGGTCTCTAAAACTAAACATATTTTATGCCGTGCACGGCACATGCCGTGTTGCACGGCACGAGTAAAGATACTAGTAATAAATAAATCATTGTCTAATCATCAATCATGACTTTAATCACTATTAAGAGCATCTCCAATGATAAAATGTGTACGGTGCACACGTGACATGAGAAATGACCACATAAATATTAGTAAATAAATTCTTTCTCTCCTTATTTGAATGATTTTATACAGTTTGGTAAGTTTTTCTCCACAATGTCAAGGAGACCGTCTAGATGTTGACATTGTTGTTGACATTGCAGGGAAAAACTTACCAAAATTGTATAAAATCATTCAAATAAGGAGAGAGATAGTTTATATGCTAATATTTATGTGGCTATCACTCATACCACATGTGCACCGTGCACATTATAGCATTGGAGATGCTCTTAATTACGTAGTACATTTTTGAATAGTTCAAAAATGAGTAGTAATGGCCGTAATTGCAAAGCGAAGAAAAATAAGGGAATAATAACTACTGGGCTAAACCCTTCCTGAACCTTGTAGTTGACATGAAAGCAAATCTTCTTCCAAGAGCTATGGCATCTAGCTCTGTCTCCACCAGAAATCTTATTCTTCTCCTCCGCAGAAAACCCAAAGGTCATTATTTTAATTTTTCTTCTCTCCCTATCTTCATTTTCTTTTCTGATTCCCCCACTTTCTGTATTTAATTGTAATATTTCAATCCTCAGCGTCTCCTTTGATCTTCTTCAGTCGCCAGTATTCAGCTTCCTTCTCCTCTCACATTGTTGGGGACTCACCAATTCTTGTACTTTCTGAACTCTGTTCCATTTAGCAAATTCACTTTCCCCCCTGGATAATGTTTTGATACCTTTCAGGATCTTTGATGTGAAGGTTAGAGATTTCATTCACAAGGCTTTGTATGATCCGAAGCATGGGTATTTCTCTCAGAGGTCGGAATCAGTTGGGGTTCTTGATAAAAGCATTAAATTTAATCAACTTGAAGGTAAACATTGTTCTACACTGTTTTTGAAATATTTAGTTGTCTCAATTTTCTTTTGTTGGCAGTGACTCTAAGGTTTTGGAACTAAGAGACCTTTAGTTAGCCAAAGTGTCTTATTCGGCTACTTAGGCTGATTAGCTACTTTTGACTTGCTCATTTGGCTGAAATAGATCATTCCAAACATTTTCGTTAGAAAAATCAGCAGATTTCATCCATATAAACCGAACAACCCTTACCAAACGGGAACTAAGATTGCAGTACTACAGTACTACTACAAGGCTATTTCTGTTGACAGTTATATTCTATGTGATCATGCTTCAAGGTGAAACATTATCAGTGATTATCACCACACAATTAAGTTGTTTGCGATATCTTATTAGCATGGCTGAAAAGTTTAAAAGGGAGTATATTGATTATGGAGAAGGCGCTTTTCTGGAAATCTTTATACTGAACTCCTGAGGTGCATCCGTACATACAAATTTGTGAATTGTGAATTTGCTAGTGCAAACCCATTCTGTGGACCATTTCAGGCAGGAAAGCTTATACAAAGCATTTGAATAGAATATACAAGCAAAGTGGTGTTTCATGGTTTACACCCGTGGAACTCTTTAAGGTAAAATAAACTCTTAGATAGTTAAAAAATGAAATCTGATCCATCGTATTTACTTTGGTTATCAAAAATGGGAAAAGCATAAGGAATTCAATGCATTTACACATAATCTTTATTACTTCTGTTCCGAAATCTACACTGAGTTTTTAAATAGAATTAAAAGAAAACAAGGAGTTCCTCTTTTTTGCCCCTCAAATTTTCAGGTAGACTTATGTGAACCTTTCTTTCGTAGCCTTGGTATGGTCATGGAATTGCAGAAGCTATTTTACGAACAGCTGACCTATCAACTCCATTAAATGTAAGTTCATTGGTTGTGCATGATGGATTGATGCTTGCATTCTTACTAATAAGTGATAACTGATTTCTTAGCTCTAAATAAATAAAATGACATTTCCCATCAACTTTTGTTCATTCCAATACTAAAACCTGCAGTTCAGCGTTCCATCATTTTTTCTTTCTTTAAGGGTAGTTTTGGAACCTGAATAATAGTAGGGAATGAGAAAAGGAACAGAGAAGAAAGTTGGAAGTTTTGAAAAAGTGAGGGATAATGAAAGACAGGCTAAAGCTCACTAAAATTATTTTTATGTATTTTTTGATAATCATTTTATTTATATATTTATTTACTTACGTCTGTTATACAAGGATAAAATATCTAGAAATATATAAGATTTAGAAAAGCTAATCATATTTCTTTTCTCTTTTCATTTTTAATAAGGCAAAAAAATAAAATAAGAAATTTACCTTCCTTTGCATCTTTTTCCTGAGACAGTTCGCCTTTTTTGAGATCCAAATATACCTTAACTGTTATCAACACTTTTCTACTCTTTGATTATAGATATTCGAAATAGGAGGAGGATCAGGCACCTGTGCCAAGGGAGTTTTGGACTACATGAAGTTGAATGCACCTTCAAGAGTTTATGAGCATATGAAGTACACGTAGGTGATCATCTATCTACTTCTCAATCAAATCACAACTATTTGTTAAAAAAATTGTACAACCATGTATCCACGATTGTTATACATGTTTGCTTGCTTAATTTTGTATTTATTTATTGGTATTTGTAAGTAGTAGGGAGCAAATGATGGGATGCGACTAGATAGTGGTTGAACAATCTTGACTCACATTATTAGTCAGCCACAGCACACCCACACACACTTACATACATACACACTTATATATACATGTATTTTTGGTGGGTGCAGTTCAGTTGAAATTAGCACAGCGCTGGCTGCAAAGCAGATTGAAACTGTTGGTGGAGTTAGTAGCCATGCATCCAAGTTTAAAGTAGAGTGTCGTGATGCTGCTGACTGGAGTGGATGGGGTATATTTTTCTCATCCTCGCAAGCCTTTTCTCATCTACCACCACTCTTGTCTATAATTACATCTACCTTTCCTCAGGTTTGATCAAATTACCAATTAATGCTCAAGTTTTCATTAAATTAGTAATGAACTTTTTCCCCTTGATCAGTGATATTAACCATAGTCATGCATCCTCATATTGAATTAGGTTGTTTTTACTGTTAAAATATGTTAAAATATTTGAAGCTTTTTCACAAACAATCTTTCGATATATATATTAAGGGCAATTCAGTGTAAATTACTCAATTTCTACTAAGACCCTATATTTGTCTGATATTTTCATTTCTCAACCATCTCAATACCGATAGAGGCCTAGAGGGGGTAAACTGATATTCCCATTCACTGATTTCAAATAAACCAAAAACTGGAAAATCAGATAAGTTTTGAATACTTAGAATGACGAATGTACAATCTATAATATTATAACAAGTTATTTGAACCTTTAGTATATCTTAGAGGATATTTACAAATATTTTGTTATTACATTATTGCTAATCAATGTCATTTCATCAAAACTTAATTTTGACTCTAAGAATGTAAGTTTTCATGTACAATCTCTAAGTTTAGATGTTTATTATCCAAATTTAATAAAATGTTTGCATATTTATTTTGACCGATACTGATAGTGATATATCTATCAATATTTCCTTTAAATTACTGATACGTATACTGATGGATAGTCTACCCGGGGGGTATCTTATCCGAGGGGTTATTGCGGTATAACTAGAGAGAAGTCAGAGCAAATAGGAGGAGAGAGAGTTGATTTTATTAAATGAACTCAGCGTGGAGTTGAGATGTAGATCGTGTCGATTACAAGGAGAAATGGGCTGCTATTTATAGCAGCAATAAATGCGATGAGGGGACACGTGTCAATAATCCAACGGCCGAAGGGTCACATCAACCGGTTGGCACCGGCAGTGGTACGTTTACCGCATTGAATGCGGCAGGCGGATGTGACGTGGCATTAAATGCGGTGGTTGGCTGTCTCCAAAAGGAATCTTCGATGATTTGAGCATGGCTGGCCGAAGGCTCCTGGTGTAGCCGAGGGCTCCATGCGACCAGGACCCCTGTGCAGCCGAAGGCCTCTAGTAGCCGAAGGCCTTATGTGACCGAAGGCTATGATGTCGAAGGCTCATGTTTTTCGCCGTTTTCTCCCAGTAGCTTCTTATGCCAGAGAAGGCTATTCTGTGAGTTTTGGAGCCCTCGGCCAAGGAGGCCGAAGGCATCCCAGTGTGCATTCTGAGCTACTTTGAGGCTTGGGCCGCTGCATTTGGGCCTGAGTTGTTCTCTGGGCTCATCGGACTTGTGTAGGAGAAGTAGGAGTCTATGGGCCGGGGGTTCCTGGGCCATATACTCCATCATATACCCACATTGATTTTTTCATCATTGCTTAGTTGTAATTACCAAAAACCTTGAGTGTCATTTAGAATCTTGTATGGTGCCACAAACTTTTAAGTCTTATGGCGGTATCATCGTGTAACTGAAAGTAGATTCTTATATGTTGTATCAGGTGAAGTGAACAATCAACCTTGTTGGGTTATCATGCTTGAGGTAAATATGAATATATGGTATTTTTACCCCTCAAATGGTAAAAATGGCAGCTTTTGTCCTCATACAATTGCTTGTTTTATTTTCACATTCTTGCAAACACAAACCCTTCATATCTTCATGAAACTAGAAATCTACAGGGAGATTATTTGAATATCATATAGTGGGTCACAGAAAATAACATGTTCTCATTACAAAGTGAACGTTCTCTCAGAGTCTCAGGTTATTAGTTTTTTGTCTATGTGAATTCGTTGCGACATTTCTCTTTCTCTTTTTTCTGTGTGGATATATCTTACGGAAACACTATGTTTGTTTTGGAAATGAATGACTTATTTGTAATTTATATTTTAATGACAATCTAGGCAATCATCTTGCCATCTCCTGAAAAGTAGAGGTCTAATGTCCAAACAAATCTGCTGTATCCCTATAATTTGGGGAGAAAGACTATTTACCCTTCCTATTCAGACTATGAAGCAGTGTTGATATGTCATACTTATCTTTTAACATATATTGTGTTTCAACCATCAAGCTGGTTGTATGCATAGTGAAACTGATTATTTGAGAGCGAAAATAGTTTCCAGTGCACAGTACATGCGATAGATATAGTTACTATGAACATATATTAAAATCAAAACCAAAATAATGCTTTGGTGTGTGATATGTCATATAACCACATCTCTCAGAACATATACTAAGAAGAGTATACCTTATTTACATTTTTTTTCACTGGTCAAACTTTATCTTGTAGTTCTTATTGTTATCAACAACATAGTGATCTCTTTCTTACTTCTTAGGTCCTTGACAATCTTCCGCATGATCTTATCTATTCTGTAAGCCAAGCATCTCCATGGATGGAAGTTTGGGTCGAGAGGCAACCACAAAGGTTGTTATTCATTTTCATGTATTACTTCAATAATAATTTGCGGCATTCTTAATGATACAAATGCTAATAAAAAGGCGACCATTTGTAATGATCTTATGTATATTGGAAGTTTATATTGCATTGATTATGATTTTGTTATTCCCAATACCCTGAAAATTCCACTAGTAAGTGATTGATGCATTTTTTATCTCTCTTTAATAGGTCAGAACTGTCTGAGTTGTATAGACCTCTTCAGGATCCATTAATCACCAATTGTATGGAAATCCTTGATATGGCGGGAAATGGTTTGGATAGTGCAAGCAAACTAAGTCTAATGGCGAAAAGTGTTTGGTCCAAAGTGTTTCCCAGGCCCAGAAGATGTTGGCTTCCCACTGGTTGTTTGGTACTTACTTTTGAGATGTCAATTCCTTATATACTTAACTCCCTCTGTCCCAAAAAAGTCTTTGAGTAAGGTATAAAGACTATAAACCATATAAACTACATATTTTTTTAATCAACTCAATCAAGGTACAAGCTTTTACATGTTATGAATGGTCGCTTATACCCCTAAAACCTACTTTCAATATTATTTATAGTAGCTGCGTAAAACGCTTGCAAATTGGCTTTACATGAATTTGACTAAAATGAAATGCAATTCCTAGAATTGGACTATTTTTGGACAAAAAGTAATTGAAAAATTAGTCTTTTTTAGATTGCAGAGTGTATTTTAACAAGAATACCCTTGAAGCGGGTGTGTTTGAGCTACTTATTCCTATCCACTTCAATGGTGATGTTGGGTGATTTATAGATTTTCGTGGACCTTACCCTCATTCTCTCTGCCCCTGTATCCTTACTCTTTCTATTTACATGTGTGTGTACTTATTTTGCACCATTCCTCACATTCAGAAACTACTAGAAGTCTTACACAGAGCTTTACCAAAGATGTCTTTAATTGCTTCCGATTTCAGCTATCTCCCTGATGTTAGAATTCCCGGTGATCGGGCTCCACTGGTTTCAACAAAGGTATGCCCTATTTTTCATATTGCACAGAGTAGAAAGTAATTATTATGTGAACCACAATATCATAATTAAATACTTCTGTCTCTTATATGTTATCAAAGTTCAGTCTTATTTTGTACGGAGTATATACCTAAGCTAGGTATACACGATTGATGTTTTAATAGTTTTCTTCTTGTTCTTTTTATTGGTCTGTGCAGAGAGATGGAAGCAGTTCAGATTATGACAATTATTTGGAAGCAAAGGTATGCTTTTTAACTTCACCTTGTCACGTTGGTAATATATGTGTTCGCTCTAAGGCATGCAAACTGGACTTCTTGATTGATACCTAGCACTATGACTTCAGCTTTTGCAGTGAGTATGAGGGAAGACCTAAAAGAACTAAAATGATCTGGGTTTTTTATTCAAAACAACTAAGCTGGTTGCTTCAAGCATTTATGTACTAACATTCACATTCATGCTTTGCTGTTCTCTCATTTAATTGTAAAAAATGTGATATTCTTCATTTTTTTAGCCATTTAAATAGGTTTTGCTTTTTTAGTATGGGGCAATCTTTGTGAAAGACTGAGGCTCTGATTGATATCCGTAATCTGTTTAACACCAGAATAAGTACCTTTTGAATTGGCGTTTTTGCTGAAAGAGTTGTTACCAAACACAGTTTTCCTTTCAGAAAATTCTGTACATCCTGCTCCTTCAGCCAAATTACCTTTTCCAAATGGGCCCTGAATTGAGTAAATCTTAACTCTCAGGCTTGGTGATTCTTGATGTGACATCTGAACTAGGTGACTTACTTGCAATTTGTGTTCTGGTTTATGCACTTCAAAGTATTTATTTTGTTCATTCTTTTGAAGGGGGATGCTGATATATTTTTTCCAACGGATTTTTGGCTTTTGGAACGGATAGACCATTATTGCTCCGGATGGAAGATGATGCAGCAACAAGACAAATCAGCCAAGAAAGGGAAGAAAAGACGTACCATTATGGTAAATTACTGGCCGTGCGGTCTTATATGGCTACTTGTATATACTCCGTAGTAAGCTAGTCACAAGTTTTTCTAGATTATTTTTTTCATTTATGATCACTTAAGCAAGGAGGAAAAGAAGACATACCCTTTATTTAAAAAACAGTACGGCTTAACAATATAATGTGTAAGCTGGCATTTGATGGTGCAAAAGTTGATTCTTCATGGCTTTATTTATAGGAATGTTGTGAACCCAGAAAAAAGAAAGAAGTAGATGGGTAAATTTGGATGGAATATTTTTGGGTGGGAAATAAAAAATGGTTCCATCTTATAGAATTAATACTAGATATATTTTTTTTGAAGAAAAATATTAGATACGTAGTATTTGTTCAAAACTCATTTCATTTATACTACCTCCGTCCCGGTGGACTTTGCCAAGTGCGAAGTAGGTGAGAAATAAAAATAGTAAAAACTGTGTGGTTGAGATTTGTGTCGAGGAGAGAGAAATGTGCAGAATCACAAATTAGTTGATTTAATAGAAAAGTGGCAAAGTCCAATGGGACAGAGGGAGTATATTTTAGTTATCTAAAGTCTATAAATATATGTGAAATTTTCTTGAGAAGTTATAATCAAATTATAATTTTCTTTTGCTTTTTAAGCTAAAACAAAAAACTTTTAAAATCTTTTTCCTTAGCATCTTAGTTTTTCCTTGCCATTTTTGAGCTCCAAACAATAGGCTTACATGGTGGGGTCTTTGAGAAACTGGGTTGGTATCTTCACAATATATTGTATACTTGATTTTTGCTGCAGCTTGACACATCGGCTTTCATGGAAGAATTCAGTCTTCCCTCGAAGACAAGAACTAAAGACGGGTACAACCCTCTATTAGATGACTTCAAGAACACTAAATTTTACCTTAGTGTACCTACACACAATATCAAGTAGACTTGCTGACTAATCTATCAAGATTTTGAGCCTCTAATTCTTGAGGATTGTTATGGTTGAGATGTATTTTGTTATCTCCCTTGCGAATGGTTGTATGATTGAGATATACGATGTTCAAACTTTGTTCCTTCAAAGATAATAACAATAATATTGTTAACACTTTACAATGACCCCTGGCCATTTATGTCATTAACCCCTTTCCCCGTTTGTATTCATGGGTGGAATGCCATTCTTGGTATTGTCAAAACTAGATTCGTTTGCATTTGGTTTGTTACTGGACAGATGCCGTGAATCCCTTCGAAACAAGGGTCTAAAAGTGAAAAATAGAAGCTTGTACATGACTGTCAGCCTTAGGGGTCAGTCCTGCCCCCGGGTTTGGTTTCTCCCCTCGTTTGTTTCTCATTATTAATCAATCTGTTTCCAATTGACCACTATTTCTAGTCACATCCAAAACACGATGTTGCAAAAGTTTGAATTCGAAAGTTAAAACTTCAAAACACGATACTAAAACTCAAGAGTCAAGACAGGTTGTAACAAACTGGTTCTAAGCTAACGAGAACACTGGCTCTAAAGTCTTAACTGGTTCTGTAACAAATTTAGTTGGTTTACATACACGTGACACTGGTCTAGTTCAAGTCCCAAATTGAACACGTGTCAAAACATTAGTTGCAACTTGCAGGATGGATGTTTTTAAAAAAAATGCTGAACCAATGTTTGTTTAAAGGAAAATCATGACGGGTAGAGTAATTGTGATGATATTTTATCACTCGTTATTGTTTGTTCAAGGGAAACTTCATAAAAATGTTGGTATTTGAAATGAAATTTGAGTTTTAATTTCATCTTTTTGTTACACAAGAAGATTAAATATTGCAAGGAACGAATGTGAAACGAATAAATAGGAAGCTTAAATTTATAAATAACATCAATCATGGATATACACCAATCGCTCTTTGTTCCAGACTTACAACAAATATCACTTTTCATATCCTCCGAACCCATTGTTCAAGCCGAAGCTGCTTTAAAGGAGGGCCCAAAGGTGGCTTACTCTTCCGTGGACACTGCCATTTCCCAGTAACCTGAGATGCATCAGGCGGTGGTTGATTTTGCTGAGCTTTAGTGACGTCTGAAAGAATCCTTCCTGCAGTATGCTTCGGCTTCCCATTGATGGATTTATCTTTGGTTGGATCATTAAGAGTGAAAGACTGGTTTTCAACATCATGTCTCCTACTTCTGGCCTTTATTGTAGAGATGAAGCCTTTCTCTGCCACACCATTTCTGACTTCGTCTCTGTTGATGCTACCCCCAGCCTCCATTTGTGGTGACTTTCCGATCACTTTACTAAAGCACTCACTCTTCTGCATTTTCATACAAAAATGTTGTTCTCAATGATTTATTTAGTGCATTAAAGAGAAATAGAAGGCTGCATTTTATTGAAAAATGCCCCACCTACTTTCCCAAGTTTCTATTGAGAAATTTGGTCCTAAGTCACTATAACAAGTTGCCACCATCCGAAACATGTTATATGAACCCACTTTTTCAGTGGTTTATATACAGAGACAACTTCGCGCTTTCTACTTAGAAGGAAAGCCGTCTCACATTTATCAAGTGCAAAAAAATCCACAGGAAAGATTGGGACACAGATCCCAATAACTATGGAAAGACTGATTTTCATCATCATGTCTCCTACTTCTGACCTTTAGTGTAGAAATGAAGCCTTTATCTGCAACACCATTTCCGACTTTGTCTCTGTTGATGCTACCCCCAGGCTCCATTTGGGGTGACTTTCCGGTCACCTTACTATAGCACTCACTCTTCTGCATTTCCACAAAAACACTGTTTTTCAATGATTTATTTAGTGCAGGAAAGAGAAATAGAATGTTGCATTTTATTGAAAAAAATGCTCATATACTTTTCCAAGTCTCTAATAAGCAATTTGATCCTATAAGTCGCTATAACAAGCATACAGAGTTCAATATTGGTATACTCTAACAAGCCGCCACCATCCGAGACAGGTTATATGAACCCTCTATTTAGTGGTTGATAAACAGAGAGAAATCCGTCTTTTAGAAGGAATGCGCTCTCACATCCATCAAGTAAAAAACTATAAAAATTCACATGCAAGGTACGTTACTAGTTATTTTCTTTTATAATAGAGATCCCAATAACTACGGAAAGACTGGTTTTCATCATCATGTCTATCTCCTACTTCTGACCTTTATTGTAGAGATGAAACCTTTCTCTGCAACACCATTACCGACTTCGTCTTGGTTGATGCTACCCCCAGGCTCCATTTGGGGTGACTTTCCGGTCACCTTACTGTACTCACTCTTCTGCATTACATACAAAAACATTGTTTTTCAATCATTTATTTAGTGCACGAAAGAGAAATAGAAGGCTGCATTTACATACAAAAACATTGTTTTTCAATCATTTATTTAGTGCACGAAAGAGAAATAGAAGGCTGCATTTTTTTGAAAAAAATGTTGTGTCTACTTTCCCAAGACTAACAAGCAATTTGGTCCTATAAGTTGCTATAACAAGCACACAAAGTTCAAGATTGGTATACTCTAACAAGCCACCATCATCCGAAACATGTAGAGAAATGGTCCTCAATAGGACCGTAACTTCTTCTATGTAATTAAATAGGAGTCCGACTTTTTTTAACCGTGAATAAGACTACGTCTTAGCTGAACTACCATTTTTACCCCTGCTCTCTTATCTCTTAGTTCGTACTTCATCCAACAAAACAGAATCTCGGATACTACAATTCGACAACGGGCAGCGAGGTGAAGACAGAGATGGTGGCGGAGTCGCAGTGGTCCGCTGCACTTCACCGTTTTCTAGAGAGTTGATTTCTCGGATCTGGCCTTGTTCATCCTAGCCGGCCAGTTAGGCGGCGGCGGCGTGGTGAGTCTGAATCTGCGGATGAATTATTTCAATCAGGTGCGCCGTCCGGGGATGGAACCAGACAACAACCCGCGCGCCCCTCTTCTTCAAATTCTTCTCGATTGTGATGACTCTGGTCTTATTCTCCCTCAAAGCAGTTATTGTTCATTCTGGCTACCACAACTCCGCCATGTCAGAATCTAATCCGGATTTGGGGGTTCAGGTTTGTGGGTGGGCATAGATTTGAACTTCTAAAGGGAGTTTTCAGATAAAACCAGAGCCTCAAGAACAAAAGTATACGGAGTATAATTATCCATAGCCTGATGTAAAAGCTCACCCACTTCTAACAAGAAGCCGATCAACTGCTCCCGTGTTTTGGTTTTGCAACCTTTGGTTTTGACATGATTCCGGTGGCTCAACTTGTACATGTGTATTTTAACTTACTTCGTATGTATCTTAACGACGCAGGTGGCTCCCAAAATATAATTTCAGATAATGTTAACATTTGTTTGGATTTTTTTGCATAATTGACATTATTTTAACATCCACATTAATTTAAATTAATTTAAGATAATGTTAACATTTGTTATGAACATTATTTTCGCTTTTATTACCTTGTGTATTACCTAGTATGTGGCAATATAAGTCTTGCACTCAAACTGATCACACTTTTTGACATTGGGATAAATTTTCAAAGTTGCAACATGATTTTCTGTATTATTTTTACGGTATTCATATTATCATTTTAACCATGTCATTATTTATAGCAATGTCATTGTCATTATTTGACATTGTTATATATTGACATTGTAACATTTTTCTACACCTTTATAAATGACATTGTCACACACTCATTGACATTGATATTATTACAATGTTATAAACTGTTTATAGTATTTAACCGGTAAAGAGCGGGTGATTCCAGTAATGCTGACATGTCACCCATTTATCGTTAATGTTGACATTGTTTTCATAATTGTTTGATTTCAATGTCATTGTTATTTTGTTTTACATTGTCGGTTTGTCATTATAAAGTTGACATTGTGTTGTTACTTTATACCGAGTATTATTGAAATTGATATTGTATTTTGATATTGTTTACAATATTTGACATTGCTTGTTTTTGGAAAAATTTATGATGACTACGTTTTATCTTGAGAAATATTTCTGACATTGTCATAACATTGCTTTTGACATCAAGGTTGACATTGTCATTACATTGACATTGTCATTTACATTGTCATTGACATTGCTGCTATTGACATTGTCGTGATTTCAATGTCATTTTTTCGTGTCCTTAACAATGACATTATCATCGTGGTCATTATCTCAATGTCATTTTTCATCACATTTACATTGTCATTATGATATTGTAACATTCTGATGTTTGTGTTGGCAATATTTATAAAAACAATCTGTGACATTGTAAAATAGTTATGACATTGTTAATACATTGTCATTGCCATAACATTATCATTGAAACTGATATTGACATTCTCATTTTGCAATGTCATGTTTATAACATTGACATTGATCATATAGCTCGTACTTTACATAGTGACATCTTTTCGCCCATATAACATTTTCTTCTATATTTTAATATTATTTAAGATATAATGATATTGTTCCTTTTGGAAATGTTTGATATCTAACAACTTAAAGTGGTTTATAATGACAATGTTTTACATCATGACATTTTTTTGACATTCTGAAATTATTTTGACATTGTTGTGTGCTTCTCATAATAATATTAATTTTTAGACAAAGAGATTATATAAATAGCAGATAAACATCTTTTCACTCGAATCCAATATTCCATCCACCCATACATTTACAAAGTATGTAAATTCCCCAGCTCTCAATTAATTTAGCATAACATCAAAGAATTCTTAAGAAACGCTTGAATTGAAGGTTCGTCCGTAACATAATCGAGATGGTCAGTTGGAAAGAAGAAGCTGCCGGCGGCGGTCTAAATCTACCGCCGGTTTCGGCTAATTTTCACAGTGAATGTGATGCATATATGTTCGGAGATAAGGGTTTAGCATTTTAGTTTTTTAGATGCAAATCTTGCCTATTCATCAATTGGTTACATCAATGATTTTTTCCTAAAATAGATGCAATTTGCAATATCCAAACAAAATAAAAAATAATGCTCTGTACATACGAACAAACTGAAAGCAAAGAAATAAGGAATAGAAAAGTCAAACAATACAACCCAAGATCACGAGTTGCAGCAACATAAGAAATTCAATACTCCGTATAATTTTGGCAAAGGCGAGACTTGCAGCGGGCACAGAGAAGAAACAGAAAAAGGAAGCAGAAACCGAAGAGGAGGAGAATGAATCTCGTCAACGACCACTCGGGCAAGGACTCGTACCGAGGACCATTCCGGCGACCACCAGGGGCAGTTCGGCAATAAATTTTTTCGACAATGAATGAAGCCGCGGTCGCTAATGGTCTGACCATCATTGCCGGCGATGAATGAATAATGGATGACTGGGTTTGGCAGCAAACGTAACATGACGACAAATGCAGACAGCGGCTGCCTCTAATTTAAGTCAAAAGGGTATTGTTGTCTGTCCAGGTGCGAGTAAGTCTTATTTAAGGTTAAAAAAGTAGGAGGTCTTATCCACATACCAAGCACATGTTTTACTCCTATTGGAGTCTTTTTCCCTTATCTGAACCCTTTTTTAGTGGTTGATATACACAGAGAAGTCCATGCTTTCTCCTAAGGAGGAAAGCCGCCTCACATCCATCAAGTACAAAACTATAAAAGTCCACATGCAAGGTACGTTACTAGTTAATTTCTTTTATGATAGAGATCCCAATAACTATGGAAAGACTGGTTTTCATCATCATGTCTCCTACTTCTGACCTTTATTGTAGAGATGAAACCTTTCTCTGCAACACCATTGCCAACTTCGTCTCGGTTGATGCTACCCCCAGGCTCCATTTGGGGTGACTTTCCGGTCACCTTAGTATAGTACTCACTCTTCTGCATTTACATACAAAAACATTGTTTTTCAATCATTTATTTAGTGCATGAAAGAGAAATAGAAGGCTGCATTTTATTGAAAAAAATGTTGTGTCTACTTTCCCAAGTCTCTAATAAGCAATTTGGTCCTATAAAGGTTGATATACAGAGGCAAGTCCACACCTTATTACAAGGAAATCCGTCTCACATCTTTTAAGTACAAAACTATAAAAGTCCACATGCAAGGCATGCGTTCCTCGTTAATTTCCTTTACAATTTCCTTGTAAAATGTTGGCATTTTTTCATGTATTGCACCACATGCAATATTGATGAGGTAACAACTTCGTCTTATGTATTGGATTGTAACAACTAACAAATGAACAAGAACACTTACCTTTGGAGAAGAAGGCTGGTTGCAATTCTTTATATCCATGAAAAACACTTCTGTAGAGCCTAAGTTCTCCCATTTCCTTTGGCCACCATTGTTACTTTCTCCAATATCAAATTCACTTTCTTCATATTTAGAAAGAGTAAATCCATCACTGCTGTCTAATATTGGAGATTCATACACATAGCTGGGGAACCAGTTCCTAATATCAAGGGGCTCTAGCAGACCAAATGCAGAAAAATAGAAGTCAACATGAGGGTATATTGTAATAAAACAATTGTAACTGTGATAAGAGCAAAAATCTAGAACTGGCAAGAAGGTAAGTTCAAGTTTCATAGACATATGTTAAGCTGTGAGTTTTTGAAATAGTTGGGAGGAGAGTTGCACCTGAAGAAAGTTGAATGTCGTCTGAAGAAGAGATATTCTGAATGATAAAGATAAACAACCTCTAAGATAAGGGTAATAAATAAATTGAGACTTTAAAGTTTAAAAAAAATCTCTAACATTTTCGAAGTACGAGATGACACCATTGACCCAAAGAAAAACTACGTCACCTGACTACAATTTCGTTTTATCCCTTAAATGTATTGGACTCAAGTCACTCAACAAGACCTTCTGAAAGCCAAGAGAAACCTCTTTCCTTCCTAATGTCTCTGGCCACCATTGTCATAGCCATTATCATTTGATTGTGGGACTCCAGAATGACTATATTCATCAATATCATAAAAAAAAACATAGTGTATTTGGTATATGTGCTTTCTCTTGCAGAATATGTCATCATACAGTGTGATTTTTTTTTCTCTTTTGCATTGCACAGGACAATCCAATGAATTCCAATTGCTCACTAGTGCAACAACATCGCTATCAAAGGATAAAACTCATTAAAAAAACAATTTTTTCCTTCTAAACACGTCAAGAAAATCTTGTTCCCAGTAACGCGAAAGATTCACGCACATAGGAAATCAGAATTAAGAACTAAAATGAAAAAGACACAAACACGCAGTCACAATCACCCACTCAAGGACACAGATTTGGAGAAATGGATATTGTAGAGGCATAAAGAGGACGGGTAACCTAACCTCATTCATGACATCGGGATTAGCTTCAACAGGAAGCCATCTCTTGGGTGCTGAAGTAGCCATTGTTTATCGACCTACCTGCTTTCCCTCGCTTTTTTATTTGTTTTGTTTTGTCTGGCTGTCGTGACATGATCCGTCTCGGAAGGGTATATAGTACCACCGGTTGTACTGTGCTCACCGTACAGCCGGTGGCATTTTTGTAATTTATATGAAATTCGCGTCTCGTACTAAATGAGTATTAAACTACGCCTAGTGAGTAAGTGACATATTTTGTTGAGCATTAGAAGCATAACATTGAGCATCGTGATCTCTGCTTCATCTCTTCGAATTTACTTTTTTTTCCTTATTTTTTTCTTTATAAAAGCTTATTAAATTATATCTATAATCAACTCTTATGAACTCCAGTATGCGAATTTAATGCAATATGATACTTTTGAAATATACAATGTTATGTTATATTACAAATGAGCATAACATGAATACTCGTTGAGCATACATAACTTATAAAATGAGAATTGATATGAAAATCATAAGTACTTTTAATTGAATATCAAGACATTTTTATTGAGCATCAACTTGAAAAGTATCGCCAATGATTTTCATTATGCGATTGTGATGAACATTGAGTCTGTTCTTTTTAAATGAGCATAAAATAACACCAAATGAGCATATGTAACTTACAAAATGAGTATCAAAAGATTTAAAAGTCCATTTGTGTATGCTCATTCATTTTGACCTTATACTCATTTGAGTTTAACATTAATATGATACGTTTGAAACGAGTATAAAGAGGTACCAAATGAGCATACATAAATCACAAAATGAGTATAAAAATTCAAAAGGGCATTTGTGTATGCTCATTCATTTTCGGTTGTATACTCATTTGAGTTTTACATAAAACTCATTTTTAATATGCTCGATATTTATTTGTGTATGTTCATTCTTTTTAAGCTTATACTCATTTGAGTTAAATATAAACTCATTTCAGATTCGTCATCAAGAAATATGAACTCAAATCTCCTAAATCATCTTCCAATTTGTATTCCCTGC